GCACAAATCTCATTATTTCCCTGAAAATATGTTCTTTCCAACTCATTTTATCTAAGAGGTTTTTGTTTTTAAATTTTTATAAGGTTAATAACAACAATAATGAAAAAGCCAAATTTCTTTTTTTATTTTTCAAGTTTCATTCTCACCCTTTAATCATTTTCTTTCTGTTTTACTCAGTCACAATTTCTAGGAAATCCTTCGTCTGGTCTCATTCACTTCTGCTCAATCTCTTTCACCTTTTCTTTATTTCTTACAATCCCTTCCTATCTATTTTTCTTCTGTAATTTGACCTCAACATATCTTTTCGACCATTTCTTCCATAATTCATCCTAAGTGAACCCCTTCTCCAAACTGGTCCTTCACTGTTCCCCAAATATGCTGGGCTCTCTCCAATCCCCACAGCTTGGCACTCACTCTCCTTCCCTTTTCCAATGCTTTTTCTAAACTCTTCAAGAAACCCAACCTGTGGCTGTCCTCTACAGGTTGTTGGACAGAGCTATGGATATTCTACTTTTATTCTTTAGCTTCCTCCAACACCCATCTTTCCTGTTTTGCTGTCATTCACCTCTATGTACTCCAAAGACTTCCTCTTGTTGAAAATCATGGGCAATCCTTTTCCTCCTTGATGATTTATATGCTGCTTTAATTCCAAACTTTCCATTATTCTTTCTTTATCCTGGCCTTTATCTTAGTTTGGTTATGCTGACTTTGAGATGGAACTATTCTTTGACTATTTATTTTGTCCCGTTTCTCTATGAGCATCCTTCAGGCCTACAACAAGTGGACACATCTTTCACATGAAATATTTAGGCTACATTTTTAATTGTATACCCTTATTTCCTGGGCCATTAACAGAATGGTCTCCAGAAAGGACAGCCATTCCTTTGCTGAATGGAGGAAAAGATGATTCCTCCTCTATTCAAATGCAGCCCTTCTGACTAATTAAAGAAATATGTCAAAACAGTTCTCAAGAAGAACTCATGTATCATCCAGAGAATTAAATGTTTTGAAAATGAGAAGAACCACTTGGTCCATTTTTCAATAGAGATTGAGAACAAAGGAAAAGAAAGAAAGGAATCAGAATTCAAGATGAAATAAATACAGAAATCTCTCGCTATATGTAAGAAGAAAATATTTAAGCCAAGGCCTCTGGTAAGGCAAAAAGCCATTATGTATGTGCCTAAGGGTTTTACCACCTTTGTAACATTTGCCACCAGCTTTTGATCAAAGCTGAGCCCTCAAAAGGGAAAATGAGACATAAAAAAGGCAGGGAATAAAAATACAGGGAGTGGATAGAAGGCTTTGGTATGGCACAAAAAATTCTTTAATATGGTGTGCTTCAAAAACAGTGGGAAAAAAAACCAGCATGCACTTGAAGATGTCAATGCTTTGTAGGAGTGGATTTACTAAACTACAAGGCACTATTCCAATGTAGGCTATTTATTATTACTCAACAAAAGTGCAATTACGGCTCACCCTCTGCTGAGTGACAAATGGTATTAACTGTGTACCACCACCTCTCCCAAACCTACAATGACCAAAGGTTAGAGAAAAACAGAACATTGGGATGGAAGGGCTTATTTCTTCTCTTATGCACTTGGTAACTGAGCTCCTGTACACCAAGGTAGTAGATATGAGAGGCATCTTATTTCTACTGAAGCAGAATGCTGTCTCAACTTGGCTGTCTGCCTTCAAGGATTAAATAAAAATATGTGTTTATAGAAGTGGAACAGCTGCTTCAGCTAGTTTGGATACCTACTTTTAAGTCCTCAGGATGTTCCATTTTTCTAAGTCCACTACTCCTATAGTCTCGGAAAATTATCAGACTAAAGAATAAAGATACATAGATGGTTTGGGTCGTAGGTCTCCTGGAGACACCAGCATTACTTCCTCTTTTAAAACCTGGTATAACAGTGAAAGTGGGCACCATCACAATGTTTCCATTTTGAGGCTATATTTTAAATGCTAGAAATTCTTCATTATCGGTTCACTTAACAAATACTTGATGCTGTGCCACAGTTGAAAAAGCCACGTACATACATACATATATATATATATATATATATGTATGTATATGGCTGTGTGTGTATGCATGTAAAAGCTTTTATAGCTTTGTGTGTATGCATGTATGTGTGTGTATATAACTTACACATACATACACACAAAGCCATAAAGCTTCTCACTTTGTAGGTACTCAATACCAATTTCCTTCACTCTTTTTTCTACCTTAAAGCTCTATCTTCAAGCATATAATCTTGTAGATATAAACAATTATTTCTGCAATAGTGTAACTTGTGATATGAAAGAAGATATGATATGATATGATATGATATGATATGATATATGATATAATATGACATGGAAGTGACAAGAATAGATGGCATGTTAGTTGAGGCTGGGCTACTAGTAATTGGCCTGGTGGAAACTGGACCATATAAAGGAATAAAAGGAACTCAAAGTCTAAGGGATTTGCATTTTGTGAAACAGAGTGAAGATTTCTTCTGAAATCTAAACCAGTTGATAAAAGAAAGGGCAATGTAAATTTAAATGGAAACTATTACTTGTTTTGCTTTTCTTTTAAAAAAGGTACAGGGAAAAAATTTAAAGCAAAGCAAAGAAATTAATTTTTACTAACAATGAAATGCAAAAGAAATTATAAATATCTGTCAAAAACAAGGCTAAGTGAACTATTTTTGAAGCAAAAAAAAAAAAAAAAAGACCCCTGGGCAAGAAATTTTACAGTCATCCTCTTTCTAGGTCGGAATTCTCTTAGAATGAGACAAAGAAAAATCCGGGCCTGGAATAAGAGGAAGACATTAGGAATCCTTTCACCACACTGACAGAGATTTGTTTAACAAACAGATGAAGGTCCAGAGTAATCAGATATCACAAGAAAAGGTAAGGAGAATAAGAAAGGCTGAAGGGAATAAATGAAAAATTGTCGACTCCAGAGTAAAGGTTGATACATTTTAAAAAATATCCATGAGGTTAAGTTAGGTGGTAAGAAAAAATACATTATTAGTATATGATAAAGGAAAGAAAGAATGATTCTTCATGTTTCTCTACCAGAAAACATTCATTATGCTTCACAAAAATTAAGTTTAATACTTTAATGTACCTGAATAAGCACTAAATGAATTCTGGGCTGAAATGAATTTTTGAATTCTTAATACTCACTCTATACAACACAAAGCAGTGGTCATGGGGAGGTGAATGCTTCTATATAAAAATAAATGACTTGTTTTTGTTTACCTTTATTAGGCATAAATAGAGGGCATCTTAAAAGTATACAAATAGAAGCCAAGAATACAAATTGTGTTATTTTTAAAGAATAGAAAATCATGAAGAAAGGATCACAGAAACTACACCAATGTCATTAAAATATAATTGGACTTGCAGGAACAATTACTGTGCTGTACTGTAAGGGGAGCTGTCGGCACATAAGAGCAAAGCACACATATGAGCTCATCAGCCGGCCTTGGCAAGACCCACTTCCAGCTAGAAGCAGTCATGTTTCAACACCTCTGATTCCCTAATGCTGACAAGCAAAACAACTTGTTTTGTCTCTGGGAGCTCTTCTCTGGTGATTAACTGCTTATGGTGAATACTAATTATATGAAAGTACAGTATTGAAGAAGTAGTGTCCTATTTCCTCTACCTGCAGCCTCAACTTATCTCTGAATCTAGAAGGTAGAGCCACTGCAAACTAGAACCAAGAAAAGACATTTTCCTCCCCCGAATAAACAAATATATTTCCTACTTTTTAGTAAAGCACAGCTCAGTGACAAGAAACTTCCTTTAACCTCTGGGCTCTAAACCAAATATAATTACCGTAAAATGAGTGTTTTAAAGGCTTGTGATAATTATATGGATAAATCCATAGCAAGAGTTTATAAATTACTGAACTATCAGTGTCTTCCATTCCCCATGTCCCATGTTGAAAATTTGCCCCAAATTGTCAGTTCTTAGGAACTGCACTTCAGATTAAAATCTTCTCACCAGGGAGTCTATGAGAATTTCTTCTTGTGTTTTAAATCCTAAGTGCTTGTTAAACCGCCAACACTGCAAAATTAGAGACCATTAAACAATATAAGGCAGCAAGTGATTAAATCTACCAAACACATATTCAAGCAGCTTAAGCTACTTTTTAATTAAAAATAAAATATCATTGGCTAAATTCAGATGTCTTAGCTATCCAGAAAAAAGTTAGAAAGCTGTTCAAAGTGAACAATGCTGCTGATAAGGCCAGATACAAAAGGAGAAATAGGGCAGGAGGTTGCCTGAACAGGAGGCTCATCTTGGTCCCTGGGCCTGGGTGGCAGCACACATACCAATGCTGACCCGGTTTAGGCAGTGAACTCCAAGCCGGGAGTCATGGCTGTGCTGCAGGGTGAGGACGCCATGTGGCTGCTGATTAAATAAGCTTTATTAGCTAAGGCCTCCAAGGAGACAGGGTGTTCCACCTTCTTGGCAGGGGAATGAGTTGAGTAACAGGAAGTTAAGGCATTGGAGATGTATAGATGGCTGAAGGAAATGTTAGTGCTATTTTAAAATGCAGCTTAAGCTAATTGATAAACACTTCTTAAAATAATTATTAGCTTATGGGGAAGCAGACACAGGGGCTTCTGAGTTGATGGGATCATTTGAGATTAAAAGAAATTTTTACTGCAAAGTTAGAAGTAAATAAATATTGTAGCTTTAAGTTGTTCCTACTTGTTTAAAGTAAAGAAAAGAAAAAGGGCCAGGGGGCTTAGTCAACTTTAGGCAAAAGGCCAAGAATCTGAAGATCAGACTTAAGGCTAGGATGATATCATTCATGCTGAAGTCTTGATACCCTTTCTGAAGTATGTGAAAATTTACTGGTAAAACCCTACCTCACCCACAGTTTTCTTATTTTTAACTCTATTTTTCTTTCCCTCTGGAGAATAATTTTCCAAATATGCTTTTTGCTTTATATGTAAATGTTGTAAATTTACTTTTAGCTTTAGACATGGTCTTACCTAAAAAGCTTGCCCTAAAGTAAAGTACAGGCACTTGGTAGCTACAGGAATACAAGACATGATACTCATATTTAATCACTTGGGATGCTGCTGGAGCTTCAGTCACTTCACAATCATCTGAGGGTAGCTCAAAAGCCTCCTGAAAAAAAGCAAAAACAGAAACACAATGGGTTTGTTAATAAGAAAAATATTAACACAGAGAGGAAAAGAGGAGATTTTCTTCTTGCAAAATAACAGTTAAATAAATATAAGGCTATGAGGCAAGGAAAAGGGAGTTTCCCATATTAATGTTTAACATTTGAGTCCTGAGTAAATAGTAAAACCAGAAAACATTAGCATTAAGTAATTCCAGATTGTTTTTGAGAGACAAAGCAGCTCTGGATAAAGAAAAACAAAGAAACAAAATACAAAAAGATCTATTGCCTGAAAAATCTTTTTTTTTTAATTGCATTTTAGGTTTTGGGGTACATGTGAAGAACATGCAAGATAGTTGCATAGGTAATGACATACCGCATGTTCTCACTCATAGGCGGGTGTTGAACAATGAGAACACATGAACACAGAGAGGGGAAACATCTTTACTGTACAATTTTAGCAACAAGATGATGGCTATACAAGCTACCTTCTTCCCTACCTGTGAAAGCTAAAAACATCCTAACAATTGAACAAGAGGCTGTGAAATGTCCCTAAAGATTCTATTGTACTTGCCAAAAGATGATTCATTGTGTGCTGAACAATTCCCAGTTCCATTTTGAATAAGAAAGTTATTTTGCAAGAGGTTGAATTTGTTAGGCATATTTCAAAATCTGAGATGATTCTGTTTTCTTCATTATTGTGCTGTCTTTGGTATATTTCTAAAATAAATCTTGATTTTATGATAGAGTAGATGGCAAATATTTATGTCAACTTTGTAAGCAGTTTTGTAAGCAGAGATGATGATAGTCATCTCACATCTCACCTAGTCATTTTTTTACTGGTTGATTTTTTTATTTTGTGTAGGGCTTTTAAAATAATGTATCTTGGTGTTTAAAAGGAATTAATTGGACACAGTGAGTCAGAGCATGGTTCCATTCACATTCACTTATTTATGGGGGTTGAAGAATTTCCTTTGAAATTAAACTAGTACTAGAAGGAATGAAACAGGTTGGTTTAGCTCATTTCTACCTCTCATTAAAACAGTGACAACAATGAACAAACAGAAATAACTAAGGAAAGATTTCACACTTTATCAATATGAAATGAGGTTTTCTGTGGAGATAAGCAAAGCCCCAGACTACTTTCAAGATCTGTATCTCCTTTACAGATAATTCTGCAATTCCCTACTCACAGTCAGTTCATTGGGGAGATATTACAATGGATAAATCACAACTGGAGATATTCACAAAATATTTTTCACTAAACTCCAGTAAACACTACCAATTAAACACAATAAAATAACCAGAAAGAAATCACAGAAATAAATATCTCAGACACAGAAAATTAATACAGTAGCAAGAAAAATATTTTTCTATTTTGTTTTTTAATTTTCAGTAGGCATAGGTATATGTACCTTCTATTACATTAATTCTTTTAACCTAATTCTTTCTTTTTGGTCAATAATTGGTTTGCTTAGCATTTATAATTTCCTTTCTTTCTTAATATAAAATAATTCTATCTCAATGGTAAAAAATTACAAATATTGCACAAACACACAAAAGAAAAACTAAAACTGCCCTAATCCCAGCAGTCCTATACCTAAGATTTGTAACCATCTTTAACAGGCCAGAGTGTATTCTTTTAGACTTTTTGATTTTTGGCATACAAACACACATACATACATAGACACACATATACCTCCTCCCCACCCCCGCCCCTGCTTAAATTCTACTATATATACATATGCTCCTAGAGTGAATATTTTCACTCATGGGCATCCTGCCACGTGCTGCCAAGTCACTGCTGTAGATTTAGTGCCTTTTAATGCCTTCACTATATTTCATTGCATGACCACACCATAGTTTTTTTTTTTTTTTTAAACATTTCCATATTGCTAGATATTTTAGGTTGATTATAGTTTTCTGCTACTTACAAATAAGGCTGCAATGAATATCATAGCACATATACTCTTGCATACCTCTATTTTTCTATGGTGCAGATTTCTAAAGGTGAAATCACTGTATCAAAGGGTATGAGCATTTTAAATTTCAAGAGATACTGAATCTGAGAAATTCCATCCTCAGAAAAAGGCTGCATCAGTTTATACTCCCAGCAAAAATGTCAAAGATTGCCCTTTTCCTATATCTAATAAATACCAAATATTGTTTTTAATTTTTGCCTATTGATGAATTTTTAAGTGTCAACTTTTCATTGTTTTAATTTCTAGTTTCTTGGTTACTCACTAGTGAAGGTGAGTAGCTATTCATATGTCTATTGGTTATTGGTATTCTCCCATGATTTGCTTGTTTTTATTCTTTATTTTCTGTTTGCATTTTTTGTATTGAATTATATAAACTCCTTGTATACTGGAAATAATAACTTACTATTAGATAAAAATATATGTCTGCAACACAGAAAAATAGAGGTGTGCAAAGATATGTGTAAAACATATACACATATACAGACACATATATACAACACTTTCTGTTTTCTTTCAACTGTTTGTTGTACTTTTTTATTACAGTTTTTTTTTTTTACTTTTATGTAATCAAATCTGTACCTGTTCTGTTTACAGCTTCTGAGTCACATCTTTTCATCAGAAGGCCTCCTGCTGTACCCCACCTCAGTCTTACAAATTATAAAGATGTTAAATTCCTTTACTATATACACACCTTTTAAAATCAAAATTTAGATCATTAATCCAACTGACTTCAGTTTTGTATATAGTGTGAGGTAAGAATTTTCCCAGATGATTTCAATGTCCATCTTTTTTCCATTGATTTTAAATGTCACCATACCATAAATTTGGTGTGTGTGTGTGCGTGTTTATTCTCTAATCTTCTCTATTGCGTGATTTCTCTTCTTAGACCATCACTGTGCAATTCTTAAGTGCATACTGAATCAAAGTATTTGGGTCATTAATTTCTGCAGAAAAGTGCAGAAATAGATGGACTGCCTGAGACCCAGTGCTGCTAGTAAAGATAAAATTTTTGGGAAAAAAAATCCTTTACCTAAACTCAAATTATGCACTCAGGAATGTGCTGAGATTGGCACCAGGTACTTGAAATGGTGATCAAATAGGCATAGATCCATATTTTCTGGAACAGGTAGGAGGCTCAAGAAATCAGAGAGAGGGGACAGAACAAGCTTCTTGAAAAGCCTGTTAGAAGTCTCACTCCAGTCATTGTTTTCACTGGCAGCTGAGAGTCTTTGTGGGTTGTGAATGCCAGGGGTACCTGTCCTCTAATTAGGACTCCTACTATGTCACCCAGTGTTGCTCTGGGCAGTCGTCTATGTTCAATGACATTTTTGCATGCTTTACTCATATTTGATGAATCTGAGTCCTTGATTTGTGTCTGCTAGGATCTTTCCATCATTCATCGCCACCTTTATGAGGTCCATGAAAATATCATTCCTTGAAGTCATGCAATTTGGAAGTCTCAGACTTCCACATATTTTCTGCTTGTCTTTCCAGTTAAAAGTGCCAGATGGTTTTAGAAGTTCAAAACTAAGGTTCTTGTCTTACTCATTTTTGTATTCCTGGAGATTCTAGTACAGAGCTGAGAACCCTAGTAAGCAACATTTTCTATTTCAGTCTGAAGATCTGTTTCCTCCTCTCTAAGTATCTTTTAACAATTTCGTAGGTAATTTACCAGCAATCCTGCCCCACCCCAAAGATTAAAAACAAGTAAATGGAGGAAGGAGTAAAGATACAAAATATCCCCAAAGAGGATACAGCAATGCCAAATAAGCACATAAAGAAGATATTCAATATCCTTAGCCATCAGGGAAATACAAATGAAAACTATAATGAGATCTCACTAAACATCTATCAGAACGGCAAAAATCAACAAAATAGTGGACACCACCAGATGTTGGTGAAGATGCAGAGAAACTAGATCATACACTGCTGGTTGGAATATAAAACAGTGTGCAGCCTCTCTGGAAAATCATTATGACAGTTTATCATATAAGTAAACACATAATTACCATAAAATCTACCAACTGCACTCAGGCATTTATCCCAGAGCATTGAAAAACCTGTGCATGAATGTTCACGGCAGTTTTATTCAGAATAGCAAAAATCTTGAAACAGTAGGGTGTCCTTCAATAGGCCATGGTTAAACAGACTGTGTTACATCCATACCATAGTATTTAGAAATGTAAAGAAACCAATGATTGACACACAACAACCTGGATGAATCTCCAGGGAATTATGCTAAGTGGTAAGTCAATCTCCAAAGTTTATATACTGTATGATTCCACTTATATAACATTTTTGAAGTGACAAAACTTTTGAAATGAAAAAACAAAGAGCAAATTAGTGTTGGGAGACCGGAGGTCAGAGGGCTCGTTATAAAAGGACAACATGAGAAATCTTTGTAGTGATGAGACTATTCTGTACCTTGACCACGGTAGTGGATATGTAAGCCTACACATGTGATAAAACTGTACAGAACCAAATATACACACACAGACACACACAATGAGTATAAGTAAAACGAGGAAAATCTGAATAAGATCAGTGGATTATATCAATGTCAACATCCTGATTCTGATATTATACTACAGTTTCAGAAGAAATTACCACTGGGGGATATTAGGTAAAGGGTAGATAGGATTGTTACTTCTTATTACTGAATGTGAATCTATATTTATCTCAAAAAATTTCAATTAAAAATTAGAAGGCATAGAAACAGTGAGGTAATTTGAGTCTTGTTAAAATCTAAATAAAAATTTTAAGACCTCAAGGTATGAATAATACAGATGACAGAGGGACCATGTTAATAAACAGAGTCTAATGTCTGGGATTTGTTTTGAAATAATACAGGAGCGGGGTAAGTGGATGAAAGTATAGAAGGAGTATGACTGGCCATGGAGTGGTGACTGCTGAGATTGTTTGATGGGTCCTTGGATGTTCATTGTACCGATCTATCTACTTTAAGAAATATTTTAAATTATTTAAAATAAAAAATTAAAAAAGTTTCTGATACCATTTTACAG